AATGTTTTAAGAAATTTGGTCACAAGAATAAAAAATAAAGAAACAGATACCCTAAGGTATAACTCTTAGAAAGAATAAGATGCTTGCAAAAATCAAAATGAGTTGAGTTCTTCAAAAAAGATTTTTAATAACATAAGACAAAAACAAACGAAAAATATTAATTACTAATATATGACGTGGAAACAAAATAAGCAATAACATTGAAACAAAAACAGAAGAGAAAATAGAACAATTAAATATTATAAGATATTAAAGAAAAGTTTAACTTCTCAATATAAGGAACTAATACGAATATCGTGAAATTAAAACCCTCATTTCTATAAGAAATAAGCAAAGAAGAAGAAACTTCTTTTTTATCTTCGTTTTAATAAGACTAGAAGAACAGTTTAATATACTCAATGTCTACTCATAACAATGAGATTGAAATGATAACCCAAGATACAAATGTAAGTAATAATGAAACTTCACAAAACAAAAATGAAAATAGTAACAATGACGTCCAACAACATCCTTCAGTTACTATGACTGTATTAACTTCTTCAACTCCTCAGATTGAACCAAATAATGAAATTATTAGAAGTCCAGTAAAGACACCAGAAAGTAATTTACCAGTTAATGAAACAAGTGCATTAAAAAGTGATAAAAAATTATCTAATAATAATGCTATTGAAGATACTGTAGCAAAAAATTTTGAAGAATTACTTTATGAAGAAAAAGAATATCATAGAACTGCAAGTGGTCAGTCTAAAAGAACTAAAAAGACATGGGGAAAAATTGGAGTTACTTCTTTACAATTAGGATTTTCTCTTGTTGGTTCATTAATTGGTTCAGGAATTCTTTCTCTTGCTCAAACATGTTATAAAATGGGTATTGTTGGATATACTATTTGGATTATATTAACAATAATTTATTTTTGTCTTACATGGACTTATTTCAACAAAGCTATATATTTAACAGGAGCATCTACATTAGGTGAATTATTATCACTAATATTTGGTAATTTCTTTGCTATCATTGTTGATATTTGTAATACACTTTTTTTTATATGTGTACTTATGTGTGATCAAGTAATTGCTACTCAGTATATTTTTGGGATTGTACAAGAAACTACATCACGAGACCAATGGAATAATACATTAGATCAATGTTATGGTAACCCACAAAGAACTGCTGGGATAGCTTGTGGATGGCATTATATAATTCTTTATCTTGTTGCTGTTTGCTTAAACCTTCCATTAATTATTCCTAAATCAGTTAAATTTTTAAGCAAAATTTCAGTATTAACATTAGTTGCTGCAATTATTACAACAGCTAGTATAATTGTTAAATTAATTTATGCTGCTGCAACTGGAAAATCATCAAATGGAAGTGATGCTAACTTTCCAACCTTTGATGGAAAGTGGTGGCCACAAAGTTTTATGTCATTTTTTACTATGGCACCATTTATTTCAGCAAATTTCCAAGTTCATTCATGTTTACCCCCATTATATGTTGGAACAAGAGGATTATCTAAAAAGAATAAATTAGTAGCTTTACAAGGTGGAAGTTATTTTTCAATTATAACATGTTCATTGTTTTATTTACTTATTGCTGTATGTGGAGATTTAAGTTTTGATAAAGTATCATCTAATGTATTAAATGATTTTGCTAATTCTGGTCGTTCAGAAATAGATTGGGTTATTTTAATTTGTAGAGCTTTAATGACAGTTGTTGTTTGTATTGCATATCCAGTTATTATGTTTCCTACCTGTGCTGGTATATTAAGATATATTCCTAAACAATGGAAATTTATGACAATATGGAATGGAAGACTTTCTGTTTTAGTTATAAGAATTTGTTTGTTATGTTTAACAACCTTAGCTGCATCATTTATTACAAACATTGGAGTAATTTTTTCTATTGGAGCAGCTATATTTTCTATTTTTGTTGTTTATATTGGTCCAATGAGTATTATGATGTTATGGCCTAGAATGGAGAAATTAGGTGATCCAAATTTTAGAAAATTATCAGTGATTGAAAATGTATTGTATAATAGAAAAGTAGAAGGAAATCAAATGTTTACTTATAGAGATATTGAAACTGCTTTTGCTGAAAATGAGGCTCAAAAGAATGAAGGTATTGCTGATGTTGTTGTTACAATTAATACTAATGAAACTACTGGACAACAAGTAATTGAATTAAATGATGTTAAAGAACAAAAAGAACGACCAACAAATCAAAATAGTTATCAACTCGCTGTAACTATGGATGGTGATTCAGGTAATGAAGATTTATCTTATTTACAAAAACAATGGATTAAATTACCAGATGCACATATTCCATGGTATCGTTATTTATTATTTACAATTGCAATGGCTTGTTGTGTAGTATTATGTATTCTTTCAATTGTAGGGACAATTATTGAAACAGCTACATCTTCTTAGTTTTCTAATTTACTACTACTCTATACCTTAACTATTGTGTTTCATCAACCAAATTTTAAAAATACAGAATTTTTAAACCAAAATTTATAATTATCTCTTCTTTTTTTCTTTACAAATTCTCTAATATTTCTAAAGGAACTTCAATTTTTTGGAATGTTTTATCATATGTTAATGGAAGGTTTTCAATACATAATTCAGTTTTTATTTTTTCTACTAAAGTCTTATTTCTATAATGTGTTATTATTATTATACTATGAAAAAAAAATAAGAGATAAAACAAACAATGGTGGTTGAAGATGTTCAAGAATATACATAATTTCTTGATTTGATATGATTTTCAAGTTTAATCCTTGGAAATCACTTGGAGTTGAAATTAATGAAATGTCCATTAACATTAATGTACTTATCTCAGCAATCCTATAAAATTGTTGCTCATTTTCTTTACCAAATGATTCAACAGTCCATTCTTTGAACCTATCATTTTTCATTTTAAAATTAATTCCATCTTGAACAGTGAAACATTGATATCCTTTCATTATTTGTTGATAAATAAATCTGTCAACTGTTTCACAATATACTTGGATAAAATATGATATAACCCTTTCGCTTATACAATAATTTTTCATTACTCTAACACATTGAGAAAGCTTATCAAATCCTTCTATTCTCCTATTCAATTGTTAAAACCTTGTTATGAGAAACTCGAAAAGTAACAAACGGTTCAGTTTTTTCATCAAAGAATGAAATTAAGTTAGTAATATTTTCTACTGCAATCTCAAGTAATAACTCAATTTCATCATTAAGAAGTTCAATCATTGACGTCTCAAATTTTGCAATTTTCGGTTTTGTTTTTTCGTTAATAGAAGTTACATAATACTTAATATGAATTAATATAGAACATGTTGTTGCTATCCAATAAGCTATAGCATTGATTGATCTATTTGATACTTTTACAATAGCTTTCATTGCTGCTGTAACATTATTAAAAAAGTTATTTTCAATATCTATCCTAAAATTTCTTTCAACACACTTTGCTTTTAAAGCAGAGGCTGTTTCAGTTAATTGACCATCAAATTGATATTTAGTAGAAATTATTGAATTGATAATAAAATTACTTGTTTGAAATGGATCATTAATTGGGTCTATTTTAATTTCTTCTAACTGTGCCTTTAATTTGCCTTGTTCTTGTAACGACTGTGTAAGTTCTTTGGATAATGCGTCATAATCATCTTTTAATTTATAATATTTCATTGCAAAATCTTCTTCTAAACCAGCTTCCTTTCTAAATGCAACATCCCCATTGATTGATACTGTTCTATTTAATGTTCTTTTTCTTGGAGACATTGGGCATGGAGAATTAGTGAGTGATTGAGTCATTGTAACAGAATCACTATCACTCCAATCTGGCTCACTACCAGCTGAAGATGTTCTTTTTATTGTTTCCAGAGCATGATGTTCAATAACAAATCCTAAAATGTAATGTGTTCCTTCAAAAGGTAAAAATTCTTCTTTAGTTTCACAGTCAAGATACAAATTCAAATCAAGTTTCAAAGAAGCTTTTTCTTTTTCTCCTTTTGTGGTAACAACAAACAAGTCTATTTTAAGGATTTTTTCTTTTTTGTATTGATTTGTTTTAGAATCACGTTGTATTGTACAATCAAATCCAATCATGGTGTTATATTGGGCTATTGCTTTTTCTACTAAAACTCTCTTTAAGTTACCTGAATTTTTTGAATTTCCTCTTTTCCATTTGAGATAGATAACATGATTATTCATATCATCTAATTTTTTTAGTGTAGTAATTTTAACATCGAAATGGACTTTTTCAAGTAACAATGTTTTACGCATTGAGAAACGTTTACTATTTCTATTAGGTCTAGGTGACTCAACTTCCATTATAAATAATTGGATTAGTTTTCCTTTTTTTTAGACAAATTCTCAAAAAAAATTCTAAATTAGTTTTCATATTCTATTTAGTTTCATTATTTTTTTCTTTAACAAAAACTATGCTTTTTAATTTTTAATTTTTATTTATCTCTTCACTACTTCGTTCTTTTAAACCTATATTTTTATTATTCATACTTCTTCATACATTAGAATACACATACAGTAATTCCTATTTAAAAATCCTTTTTTTTTTAATTAATTCACTTTTCATAGCATCAATTATATCTATCTCATTTACTCACTTAATCAGAAATTTATACTCAGCAGTATTATTTTGTATAAACATTATTTCTAAAATTATTATTAAAACTATTATTTTTTTAATATTTGCATATAACTAATATTAATTCTTTTCTTGTTTAAAGTATTTCTTTGTTATAGTACGACTTGACTTATTTTCAAAATTATTCTTATTACGTCATTAATTAAAACTCTAAAAATATTTTAAAGATAATCAAATAAATCTTTATGACTTAAATTCGTCTATTTCATTCTTCTTTTTAAGTATGATATCTTTTTTGGTTATAATAAGACTAACATTGTTTGTGTTAACAAATACCTTATTTTTGTAATAAAAAGTATTATATTTTAATTCTGGTTCAATAAAAACTGATAAAATATGAGAATTAATCATTTATTCAATCCTAAATATTTTTTTCTTATTTCTTCAATAGAAACAGGAAGACTTTCTTGTCTAATTCTTTTTATTGTTTCATTAGTTTCATCTTTAAAGATTAACTTTTAGTCAAAATAACAAATTCCAATCAAACAAAAAAAAACAAAATAAACAAACATAGACTTGGTTCTTGTGTAGCAATAGATGCATGTAAATTATTATATATTAATGGATGTACTTCACTTTGATCAAACGATAAAAATAGTGAATTCTTTTTTTGGATATTCTCTTTAAACGTTATCAAAACGTTGTTTATTTTCCCTTTTCTTGAAATTGATGTTTTTACTTCAGGTATTTCAATAACAATAATATCTTCATCATTTCGATTCTTTTGAGATAAATAAGAGTTTAGAGGAGTTATTAATTCTTTTTCTGTACTACTAAAATAAGAACATGCCTCATTCTTAAAATTTTCTTGTTGAATTTGTACTTGACTTACTTGGACTTTACTAATCTCTTCATGTTCATCTTCTTCTTCATTGAAAACAAATGAGATTAATTGGTACATAATGTCTTCAATACTTTCCATAACTTTAATTACTGAAAATAAAATAGGATTTGGAAGAATTGGGTTATACTGACTTAAACAATCAGGTTGGTTGTATTTTCCAATATCAATTTTTTCATTTGACAATAATAAAGATCCACTCTTATTATTTAAAGAATATAAAGATGCACTAAACACAGTAAAACATAGAGGAAATTCTAATTCATCACTTCCAAAAAAGTGCATTTCAACACCTTCACTATTACATTGATGTCCTCTAATAACTGCAGTAATGTTATTGGTTTGTAAAAATTCATTAATGGCTTTATACCCAAAATAATATGAACAATTTCTTTCATTATTTGGTAAAAATGTAATGGTATCATAATGCTTTTTAAATCCTGGTTGTTCTTCAAACCTTTTTTCACTAATAGGATCACCCCATAATAAGTCACAAAAAAGACCTTCAAGAGGTGGTTCATGAAAACGATCAATAGAATTGATTTGATTAATAGTTGTCATGTCTGGAGATATTCCACCATGACAGCAAAAGAAATCACCTATATCACGGTGAACAACACATACCAATGGAAGAGAGTCAAATAATGAACAAAACTGATAATAGAGAGTTAACGAGTATTTCATTTTACACTCAGCCATAAACCCCATTGATCGAGTCATATTTCTACTTTCATGATTACCTCTTAGCATTATCACATGAGAAGGATTATTTACCTTCATACTCAACAATGTTATTAGTACTTCACATGACATTGTTCCTCTATCAACATAATCTCCTAAATAAATTGATGTTGAGTATCGACCTTCCCAAAAAGGGTCATTCATTTGTGTAATTAAGTCAAAGTATTGTCCATGGTAATCTCCAAATATAAGTACATTGTCATATACATGAATTACATTTTCTTCTAATCCAAAATAACTTTCACTTTCTTCAATTAGTCTTGAAACATCTTCTTCTTCAATAATTCCTCCATGCATAAAGTGACGTTGAAGTGCCTCAGTATCATACAACCCTGCTGGTGTTTTTGGAAGTGAGATGATATAGTTCATATTTACTGTCTCAAGCTGAAAAAATTGTTTTTAGATTTTATTTTCTTTTTATCACGCTCATTTTTGAGTAAATTTTCAATTTCAGTCAATTTTTTCTCTATAAAATCTAACTCTATCTAACTACATGATTAATTTATGCAATATATCACATTTTTATAAAACAAAGAACAATTCATATCCATTAATAATTTTATGTTATATACTGTTTTATTAACCACCTTACATAACATCAGGATTTTTTAAATTATTAAAACAATTATAAGTCAGTAGAACTAAACAAAATTAAATATCTATTGTGACACATTTATTTAGGTGTTTGTTGAAAGTGAAGTTTATACTCAAAGAATTTTCAATAAAACTATTTACAATTATAATCTCATAATTTCTAACCTAAAAAATATTGATTCGTCTAGATTTTATTTCAATTTATAAGTATATTTCATAGATGTTTATAATATTTAACGCTAATTAATTGTTATAGTAGTATTAAATTAAATAATTTACAAAAAATTGGATTATTTTTAATGAACATTAAACGAACATTAAAAGGATTATTATAGTGTTATTTTCAAAGAAAGATAAATTTATCGGTGGTTTAAAATCCAACAACAAATAATAATCTACTTTTTATATAAAGAAAAATCTATTTTTGTTAAAATTTATCAATGTCAGTCTATTTTGTTATTTTTCCAATAATTTTAAAAATAAATTATTTTTATTAAATTCTATTTTTATTATTTTAAAAATACTATTCCTATATTTATTAATTATCTAATTCTTTTTGCTAACTAGACAACTAGCCTAGCATATTAATCTAATGCTTTTTATTCTTTTAATCGAAAACAATATTTTTGTTATGATTGTATTATTTATTTTGTTAATAATTTTAAACAAAAACTATGAGATTCAAACTTAATGATTATTTTAACTCAAAACTTGTTGATATACAACTACAATGATTAATAAAAACTTAAATAATATTCAAAAACAATTTAATTGAAATATAAAAATTATATATAATTATTGAATGGTTATATGTTATATTCTTGACTTAGAAATATTATACAATTTTTTGTATTGAGATGTTTGAATAAATTATTCTCATATTTAGAATATACTAAAACTAAACTCACTTGTTAATTTTAAGAATTAAAATGAAAAAATTCTTAAAATGAACTAAGTTCATAGAACCAAATCATAAAATAATATTCAAGCTTTTATTTAAATATAGTCCTTCACACAACATTATTAGGTTTTATATATTTAATTACCTTATACACTTGAATTAAACAACTATCCATTAAATAACAATTATGATTATGATATAAATAAACTGTATGATTACAGAACTAATGTTATTTCTTTTTTTATTAAAAGGATAAAATGAAACATAGAAGACAATGTTGAGTTTATGGCATTGTTAAAAACAATAAATACAAATAAAATTTGAAATATTAGAATGAAGTTCAAAATGATAAATATAATTTGTTAAATGAAAGTTTTAAAGAAATGGCTGAGCATATTATTAATATTGTTAGGTGTTAATAATATGAATAAATTAAACGTTAAAGATATATAAATCTTGTTATAGACAAGACAAAAAAAGAATAATAAAAAATAAAAAAAAATTGGAATGAGTCAAGCAATGATTCTAAGATTAGGAAGTGCTTGGTTGATAATATTCATAACATCAATAGTGAATGTTGGAATATCTTTAACAACAAGAGCACGCAATGAATTACTTCCAGTGATACCAAACAATTCATTGTTTCCAAACGTACAATCTTTCAAAGCAATAATATCCAAACGAGTTAAGCTGTTTAAAGAACTTACAAAAACAAGGGAATTAGATGATGGGATTGAATTTAAAATAAGTTCATTTAAATGAGGTAAATGACAAAGATCACACAAACAAAAGTCATTACAATTTTCAATATTAAGTCTCATGATTGATTGAGGAGTTTTTTCTAAATTCTTTAAACAAGGTATTGTATTGAATGAAAGACAAAGAAGAGAATGCAAAGAAGAAAGAATAGATAAATCGAATTCTTTAATCATTCCAATTGAAAGAGAAAGAAGGGAAAGAGTAGAAAGTGATTGAAGAATAGAAAGTTGGTCAAATGGAATTTTAGTTAATTCAAGTGAAGTTAAAACACTACATTTATTCAAAAATTCAAGTGATTTGATTTTAAGACATTGAGAAATAGTTAATGAACGTAAAGACTCCAATTCAAAAGAATTTAATGCGACATTAGAAATATTAGGACATGAAGTAACACTTAAACTTTTAACTACACACATAGAATTAATAAGAGGCAATACCTTATCTAATTGAGAAGTGTTTCTCCAAAAAGTCATAGAATCTATTTCACCAGAACAATGTTTAGAAATTTTTTCTATTGGTTCAAAAGATTTAAATGCTTCAAAGTCATGATTAAATGATGAAATTGATAATTTAAAAATAGATGGCATCTTTAGATAAGTAGCTAAATCTAATGGTGAAGTAATTGGTGATTTAACACGTAAAAATACTGTTTTTAAATGACGTAATTTCGTTAGAAATATTAACTTAGGAGCATTGGAAATATTAACTTCAAGAAGATCTAAAATATGAAGATTTTTAATACTAGTTAATTCACTTAAAGAATTTAATTGTTTAATTGAATCAGCAACAATCTTCATTGAAGTTAAACCAAGTAATACAGAAAGAGAATTGAAAGGATTAATTCCATTATTATCTTCAGTAATTTTAACAATACTTTGAGCTCCAAAATTAATTGTTAATGACTGAAGTGATTGAAGTTTAGTAATAATTGGAATAATACGAGGAATTAAACGAATATGTAGTGATTGAAGATGTTGTAATGATGTTAAATATAATAATGAAGGATCAGTTGGAGGAAAAGAATATTGAAGTTTAGTTAAAGAAGTTTGTAGTCCAAGTAATTGATTAATATGTTTAAATTCAGCCATTGTATTACATTCAATTCCATTTAAAATTAATTTCTTTAAATTATATTTTTGTATTAATTTAGTAACTTGAAATGATTTATAATTTCCTAATAAAATTAATTCATTACAACTATTAGGTAATGTTTCATTTTCATAACCTCCATAAATTGTTAAAGTATTAACTTTTTTCATTTTAATCATTGTTTTATTAATTATCATCATATCTCCTTTTTCTTCAATAAGTTTTTGATATCTTTTATTAATTGCAATAAAAGAAAGATAATATTGTGGTGGTAAATATCTAAATATTGTTTGAACACTACTGTCGTCAATCATTCTTTTAATTCTTGTTAAGTTCCATTTAACTTTTTTACTTTAATAGAACTTATAATTGATAAAAACGTTAATAAGTGCAAAAAAAAAACTTTATTTATCTTTAATTTCTATTCATAAAATGAAAAATAGAAACTTTAAAAACTTAACAAAATAAAACCTCCTTCTTTTTCTTTCAATTATCTTTTGTTCTTAAATGAACTTAATAAGAGATGGTTTATAGAATGATGGTTGTTCAAATCCAAGAAGATTAATATAAGTAGCAGTAACATTAGCTAATCCTGGATGTTCTACTGACTCATCAATAACATATTCTCCTTTATAATCATAATCTCTAATGAACAAATTAACTGGATTGCATGTATGTGAAGTCATAGGCTTTCCAAGTTTATCAAGCATAGTTTCTACATTACCATGATCAGCTGTAACTAATAAAATTCCTTTTTGTTTTCTAACTTCTTCATCAAGTCTTTTCAAACATTCATCACAAGTTAAAACAGCTTTAACTCCAGATTGAATATTTCCAGTATGTCCTACCATATCTGGATTAGCAAAGTTAACTCTTAAATATTTATATTCTTTACTTTCAAGAACTTCAATCAATCTATCACAAACTTCTTTAGCTTTCATTTCTGGATGACTTTCTGTAAGATCATTTGGAAGAGATTTAATTTGTTCATATTTTTCTAATTTATCATCAAAGTATCCTGATTTATTTCCATTCCAGAAATATGTTACATGTCCATATTTATGTGTTTCTGCAATTGCAAAACATTTGACTCCACTCTTAACTAAATATTCACTTGATACTCCTTTAATGTCTGGTGGTGCACATAAATATTGTGGTGGAACATGATTATCTGAATCATATTCAAGAAGTCCTGCATATCTAAGTTTTGGTGTATAAACTCTATCAAATGCTTTAAATTCCTCTCCTTGATAAAATGCTTTACTAATTTCAATTGCTCTATCTCCTCTGAAATTGAAATTAATAACAGCATCTCCATCAACCATTTTTCCAATTGGTTTTCCTTCTTGATCAACAATAACAAATGCTGGATTAAATTGATCAAGTTTTTCTGGGAATAATTTTCTTGCTAATTCAACTGCTTCTTTTGCTGAATGATAATATCCTGTATATTCTGGTGTAATATCTCCTTCTGGTACAATTCCTCTAACATGTGCTTTCCATCCTCTTTCAACCATACTCCAATCAGCTTCATATCTATCCATAGTCATATGCATTCTTCCTCCTCCAGATGCTATTTTTGCATCAATACCAGCTGCTTGAAGTTGAGCTAATTTCTTTTCTAATTTATCAATGTACATTAATCCTGAATCTGGGGCTACATCTCTTCCATCTAATAATGGATGAACTCTAATTTTCTTTCCTCCACATTTAACTACTCCATCCATCATTTGGAATAATTGTGTAGTATTTGAATGTACATTTCCATCACTTAAAAGTCCAATAAAATGAACAGTTTTTCCTTCTTTAACTGCTGCTCCAACAACATTTTTCCAATTCTCTGTTTCAAAGAATTTTCCTGATTCAATACTTTCTTCAACTAATTTGGTTCCTTGTGAATAAATTTGTCCTGCTCCAAGTGCATTATGTCCTACTTCTGAATTTCCCATATCAGCTTCTGTTGGAAGTCCTACATATGGTCCATTAGCTTTAATTATTGTATGAAGATGTTGTTCTTTAGCTTCTG